AAGATGCGCGTTAAATATCGCATGCGATTTATCGTGCAGCCCTAGTTTTTGTCATTCAAAAAGAGTTTTTGTTCGTTATCGTCTCATTGTCGTCGGTGAAAAAAATTTTGTTGACGAAAATTATTCGTCAACGAAATTAACACTGCTCCGTAACATTAAAACATCCTGCAATATTCATTAGGGTTGGGTATCGTTTGGGTTTTTTCGATACCGGTGCCAAATCGATACTTTTAAAACGGTTCCGGTGCCTAAACGGTGCCTGAACCGATACTTATTAAAGAATAGAGAAAGAATAGAGAATGCTAGTGTTAGAGGCTCTTTTTTCTTTATAAATAAAATAAGTAGTTAGAACAGAAACAGAATAGAGAGTGCAAATGTTAGAGGATCAAGTTTTTTAATAAAAAAAAACAAGCAGATAAAATTAGAAGTAGCATTAGAATAGAGAGTGCTAGAGTTAAAGGGTCAAATGAATATGAAAGATGTGTTTTCAGCTGTTTCTTGAAAATATTAAGGACTCCGCTGCTTGGATTGAGCTGGGCAGGTCATTCCACCAGGAGGGAACAGTTAATGTAGAAGTCCATGAAAGTTTTATCACAGGTAGAATGCAAAATGTTTTTTATGCAATATGTAAAATGTAATTTATGCAATATTTCAAACCTTTAACCCACTTGGGAAAATCAACCCATGGCAACAGTTTAAAATGTGTTGGATTTGTATTATTAGAGCTTTCCGACTTGAGTTCACGTGCATTTTCTCAGTCGGGAAATTATTTTTCACGTGCAGTGCCAGTGATGATGCTTCTTACGTCCGTTTCGGAGAACCGAAGGAAATATTTCAATCGATCGCTCAGGCATGGCACCGAAATGAGGCACCGAAATCTGCGTTCTGATTCGGTTCTAGTACATACCGGTTACATAGGTACCGGTGCCATATTGGTACCGGGTTTCGGTACCCAACCCTAATATTCATAGCTTAAAACATCCTCCTAATTACAAAAAAATCTTTTAACCATTTAATCAAGCATTTATCATTCAATAACCGGTATTTTGTGCATCCCTAGTAGACATCACTGATGCAAAAAACACAGGATGAAATCTTTATCATTGATCATGGATGAAAGGAGTTCTTAATAGTGCATGTACTGATTCCTAATGAACTTCTGATTGTCTACCTGGCTCAGAGCTGCTGCAGTGATGCAGTTGTGTTACAGCAGGATGCAGTTTGACTTCTTTTTCGCTCTCTTCTTCTCCAGTGGCGTCTTTCTGTTTATCTGTCTTACCAGGTCATAAAAGATCTGATATACACACAAAAACACAAAGGACTTTTATTAGAGGACGGTACGTATGTGACCTGGTGCATGCGCATTTTTTTAAAACTGTGACTCACCTCGTTGACGTTGATCTTTGATTTGGCAGAAGATTCTAGAAAGGCACAATTACTCCACTGACGAGCAAGATTCTGACCCTGCTCCTTCCCAACCACCCTCTCATCCTCTAAATCACACTTATTTCCAACCAAGATCATTGGCACCTATAGAGCAGAGAGAGACACAAGATGAGTGTGTGTACTTGTTTGCATCTGGCTTAAATAGGAAACCACAATTAGGCCTGGGCGATAAAACGGTATCGTTATTTATCGACGGTACACCTTCTTCGATATCGATAGAAAAAAATGTTCGATATAGTGCACGATATAGGCACGTACTATGAGTGACGCAGACAGCACACACAAACACGAACACATGCTGAAATGAGTGCTGTGCCTGCCTGTGATGAGGAGATTGTGAATAAAGAATGAATATTAGTCGAATTTAAAATAAACATTTGCATTTGAATGTTAGGTGTGCATCAGGTAGCGTCATCAGTGGCGCGCGAGATGTGGTGATGATGTTTATATCGTTGATACATTTTTTAGCTATATCGCCCAGCCCTAACCACAATCACTGACAGTTTAAAGAAACATGGTTTTGATTTTAGTTTGATTGATTTTTAAAAGATCAGTGTCTTATTTAGAGGCACAAAACATGTCCCGTGCTCATGTAACATGGATTCACATACACAGTACTGTTCAAATCATTGGGGTGTTGTATTACAAATTTATAAATTGTTAAATCTAGGTTCCAATGTAATAGAATATATACTGAAAAAGTTATGTACCTTGTGTTTTTCATTTTGATGT